TGACAGCTTCATAATTTGTTCCAAATATTTTTCCGCATTCCTTCCTGCGCAACTTTCAAAACCCGCTCGTCCGACATTCGATGGCACTGCCATCATTAGGCATTTCACATACTGATTCCAGAGCTCTGGTAGTGATAATTTTTCCAGGACTGGTACGGCCTTATCATCGGCCAGAGCGCTTGGATTCGATGATTCACCGCCCGATACAAATGAGACAGCAGAAGCATCCAACTGTGCCGGATTCGCTGAACCAATTTCAGGTCCAACCTCAAAGAATGGTTCAAATGAAGGGGAGTCCTGCAATGTTTGATCAATTTCTTCCTCACCGCTACTTCCTTTCGATTTTTTCTTACTCATTTTGAAATATCTAAAATTAAGTGATCTCAGTTTGCCTTAAATTTTAATATTAATTCAATGAAAAAAAACAAAAAATAAAATATGTAAATTAGGCTATTTAATTACTAAGCTATTAATTTGCTCAATGATATATGGTAATGACAATATGAAACACATACATGATAATTTAATGATCGCAAAAACTTGAATAGATGGTGGCATATTTTAACCTAATTTTTATTTCAATACTATCAAATAAATATAAATTCGAGATCGAAATACAAATTTTTTGAAAAATGCCTCCATTATAGGTCAATAAAAATAAATAAATCAATAGCTATGTTGTATTTTAATTGCTGCCAGTAATATTAAGTTAATTGCTATCAATAACATTAAATCATTCAAATTTAAAAATGTTATATAAGTTTTGAATCTCAGTAATACTAAATCATTCAATTTAAAAATTCAATATAAGAATTGAATCAACCCATGTAATTTGAAGAAATTATAAAATAATTTTGTAATGGAGAATTAATATCAGTAATAATACCATTAATTATAATGATAGAGAAAAACGGGATAAAAACTGATGATGAAAAATAATAGAAACGGTATCATTCATAAAAAAATAATCCATTCTTTCATTTATGTTAAAATAAAAATGCAACAGCAGTGGAAAAGAAAACAGTATCACTCAAAAACAGATAGAATATTGAAAGATTTCAAATCGAAAATAATTAAATTGTGAAATTCGTATGATTAAAGAGAGAGAGAGTGAGAGAAAAGTATGAAAAAGCATTTGGAAAATTATTCAAAATATAATGATGCAAAATGAACTTAATAAGATAAATGATAAAAATTAAGTAAATAATGGATAGATGAACATTTTATTGCAAGAAAAGAATAAGAATTTTTCAATGATACTTCATATGTGCTCAAAACAATAAGAATTCTTGAAATTAATAAGAACTACTTTCTTTATTTTCAGAAATTTGTAAATTTTTTCCGGATTTTTTTCTTCATTTTAAGAAGCCAAAAAAACATAAAGTTAAAAAAAGAGCCGTAATATAAAACATTAAATTACAGGAATTTCTATACAATAATCAAAAAATAATCATAACATGAGCTATCAAATTATAGAAACTTGCATACAGTAATCAAAAAATGATTGTAACATAAACTATCAAACTGCAGGAAT